GATGGGTCCCACAAAAATAAAAAGCAACTGCCGTTTGGGAGAATTAACAGAAGCGGTATTTTTGCCTCATTTTAAAATATATATGTATATTTTTGCACTCAATATTTTATTATAGTACTTGGTCTATTTATACATGTATATTTTTGAACTCAATATTTTATTATGGTACTTGGTGCTTTTTTTTAATATTACAATAGGTAATTTTGTTCTTTTACCTTTGTTCCTAATATCTTTTGACAGGAAGCATCTTGTCTCAATCCTTTCCATTTTTTGGGTTATATGACCGACCATGCCCAGCATTGTGTGTCAATGTATACCATAGATAAACTTGCATAAAGTCTATGAAATTGCAAACTGGATTTCCTAGATTGTTCCTTTTTTTATTTATACATATAATCAACAAAATGACATTATAAAAATACAGAGTTAAAGAGTCTTATAGGACCAAAAAATATATATTGTAATGTTGGAGAAGTCATCCAGCAGAAAAAAGATATCCCGTTTAGTAGCACATGAACGGGTACCAAATGAGCAATTTAGCTTAATGAATTGCTTTCTTACCAAAAAGATCTCAAATTTGGCCTCTTCTGGTTGTCAAAAAGATCACAGGTCTACGTATCCATCAGAATGAAACACGAAGGCATTTGAATATACGATGAAGCTGAAGAAATAAGGTAAGCAAGTGTTTTTAAGATAATCAGTTGAGAGGACAAACCCTTTCAAAAGATGTTCTGCAGTGTGAAAAAATTTTAAATGTTAACGCATAGTCTTTAAGAAGAACAAGCAAGAAAATATCACCAATATACTATCAAGCCGAGTTTGTACGGAAGACAAGAAATTAACACTTGATCAAAAGCGGCCCATTGATACGATTCTTTCAATCTTGGCACAACGATTGAAAAATGAGACTGTGAGGGATATCATATTCATTCGAACATTTGAACATATCCAAAATAATAACAATGAGGCATAGAAGATCTATGCTTCGTCTAGTGCCATGGGAAGAAGTATTTTCTCATAGTGAATTGAAAAAGCTGTATCCAGTATATATAAAATGATGAGGGAAAAAGATTCTAAAACTTTGCATGATCAACTTTACAAAAAAAATCATAGCAAATACTCCCGATGACCTAACAAGCACATACCAGCAACTAAATTAAGCATCCACCTTGAAAGAGAACTGAACAACATGATATAATACACGGGGCTAAATACTGCGATTTGAAACACAAACTAACTGATGCTAGAATGATGCAAACAGAGGTAAGAATGAAGGGAAGAAGTGCAAAACAGAGAGGGAGAGGGAGATATAAGAAAGAGGGGTTAAGTTAACTGAACAACATGAGAAGCAAAAATATTCCATTCATCAAAAATCTCCATCCATGAGTTACATATTAGGGATTTACAGATTTATAGAAGCCACATGAAAAGTAAATAAAGCATAATGTCATTTCAATGAAAGTTCTTGAACTCAGAAACTTGCAATATACCAAAAAGTACTTAAGATCTTGGTTCTTCAATGCGGATGTGGCCAATTAGTAGATGCTTACTACATAACTTAAAATACCACACCAATGATGCATCCAAGCGTAGAAAACATATTGAATTCATTAGTGGTGAAGTTGATCTGAGATAGAGTATTTTTCTGTTCATCATTTTCCACTTTGCCTTCAATATCACTAACAAGTTCAGATGCTACACAAACATTGTGAATAATTTCGTTCCCCCAACTGGCATAAGGCTTTCTACATGATTGAAAATATGATGCCCATAGCGACTTCTGCCAACAGCAAGCTCTGTAAATTCTTTAGTAGTAAGATTGAACAAAACAGTGGTTGGTTCATCATCCATTTGACGTCCAGTTGAAATGCTGCAAACAATTTCATTCCTCCAAATAGTCATGGGGCATAAGAAGCATGGATACGGGCTACTAGTATATTTCTTAGTCCAAATCCATTTCTCCCCGGCTGCAATTGTACCCTCCTCCATCACCCATAGATCAATCAAAGAAGATTCAGAATTTCCAATCATAGTGCAACAGAGCATAGCAAGTTTGTTCTCGTACATAGTGAGCCTCTTGAGATGCGATCTAGGGGCTGAAGCAGGCACTGGCATCAATGCAAACACATCCATTGCTATGTCGAACGAGATTATCACATTTCCAGCAACAATATTACCGTTTTCATCCTCCTCCTCCAGCTTAAACCCAAACCAAAACATAGCTCCATTAGCAGTGAAACTGGCAGAACTAATACTTACACCATCTAAGATCCCCAATTCTACTTTCTCCCATGATCCTGTCCTTAATGAGTACACTTCCACTTTTTCAACCAGATCATCAAATATCACATCAACATAAATTCTTACTATCTTGTAATCATTAACAATTGGACTGAACCCAAATCCTACACGTAAATAATGACCCTCAAAATCATCAATAGGTTTAGGCACCTGTTTGACTTCTCTAGTAGCTGGATTCCACAATAAATGGGAATGATGAAATACCCCCTCCTTACTGATGCCAATGCAGAGCAAGCCATTGCTCGAACCAACGAACCAACCGCACTTCAAATAGTCAATCAAAGGATGGTTTGGTACCCGATGGACTTGCTTCTCGCAATCGAGCAAATGTAAGTTCAGAGGACCTGTGCTATTCTGCGGCCGAAAGAGAAGACAAGGGTTTTGATGAGTGGAGTGGTGGAGGTGGTCAGCGATGAAAGATGGGTTCTTGATGAGATTTTTCCAATGTTCGGAGACACATTGAAAACGGGCTAGGGATTTTGCAGGAAGTCGTTTGAGAATGTTTAGGATGATTTCATCGGGAAGAAAGGGTACATCGTCATCGATTACGATCTGCTTCATAGTTATCGCCAGGGAAAAACAGATCTCTCTAAGGAAGCCCCCAATCGACGAAGGTTTCAGGATTCAATCGGAGGAACCAATACAAGAAATTAAGAACAAGCCGTTTCGACTTCGTCGGGTGTTTATTTTTGTTTTTCAGAATCTTCAAAGCGGAGTATTTGTGGGCCAATACCTGTTCATTAAAAGTGGGTCCAAAATAGATTAATTTCTCAAAATTATGGTTTGGATTTGAGCGTACAGCTTTTAATTAAGTGATTTCTGTCTAACTAAAAGCTAATTCAAGCATACTCTAAATTAAACTCTCAGTCGGAAAAAACCTTTTAAATCGCTCAATACTAACTGGAAAAATGCGTACTGCTCATGGTGTATTTGATTAAATATTGATGACAATTAAGTTGTTGCCTTGTTGGCAATAAAAGGACAAATATACTATTAAAATAAAAATTAATGAGTTTTTATTTTAAATATAAGACTTCAATTTATTTTATTTTTCATATTTATTCTTTTTTTTAAGATAATTCTTGCCATAATAGTTGTCTAATTGATATACTTATTAGTAAAGATATTTTAAGAAAGACAACACTTATTTATTATAAATAATTAATTTAACTAATTTTTTTAATCTATTCAAATTAAATTAGTTAATTAATTTTTATATTAAACATTTTTCTGATCCTAAATATAAATATAAGACCATTTTTATAATATGAATTACATTATAAAAAGAGTTTTATATTTAGAAGGAAAGAGAATATACTGTATCATATTCTTACATTGACTGCAACATCTGCCTATCTAACATCCACGATTTGTGATCGACGAGCTTTATCAAAACGTTGTCCATTTTCGTGTAATGCTTCTGGTGGCAGAGCAAAAGCGGTACAGACTTTTGAACATCAGGGTGGCAAAGCATCAGGCCATATTCAAAAGCTATATGAGGCGCCGCTGTCAAGCAAGTTAAAAGGCGTTGTCGCTGATAATCATAAGCTAAAACTAACAATACACCAATTTGAATAGCAAGTACGATAATAACTATTTTACTTACTTATGCAGTATTTACCAGTAATGGATACTACTTCCTGTCCTGAATTAATTGTAAATTCAAATTGCCCATAAATAGAAAACCTAATTTTATTTTATTTTTATATTTATTTATTTTACTCTCTCACTAATCTCCATCATAATTGAATATATTAAACAGGTAGTTTCATTATACTCCTCCGATCCTTAATATAAGACCCAATTATTGAGTTGGTTTTGATTCTAAATATAAGACCCATTTCTCATATTTATTAATTTTTTTAAAATTACTCCTATGGATCTCTCATCCATAATCAAATAGAAGAAAGAGTCCCGGTATTAAAAAAAATGATTATGGTGTTGTAGGAAAGACATGTTACATTTCTTATAATTAACTAATTTATTTAACTTCCTTAATCTAATCAAATTAGTTAAATGAGTCTTGTATTAAGGATCAGAAGAGTATATAATTAACAAAATAATTTTAAAAAAATAAAATTCATTTATTATGATAACTAACTTAAATAATTTTTTTTATATCTTATTTAGATCTTATACTAATTATCTGCGTTATAATTCATTTTGCTTCCATCCGACCACCAAATTCTCGAGCGTATCTGCCAGAGAGCACTATGCTTCCATTCGCCCAATACATCATTAAAGGCAACATGGGCAAAAGGAGCCCATGTGAAGCTAGACGCATTGGCAGTTTTTTTTTTTTTGGGGGGGGGGGGGGGGGGAATGAAAGCAAGCATAATGTGATAATACCACTATGTTTTATCATCATACTCTATATCTGTGGGACATCACGGCAAGTATGCAATTATGAACATTCGAAACTCCAAGTTTCATGTCATTTCCATTTTGTAGATTACCCGTTCTGATAAGCTTGATATGTTAAATATTTATCCTATGGTTATGGATTTGGGGGTGCGTATTTTATGGATTTTCTAAATAGCTATTTACTATATGATGAAATTAATATATCCAAAAAAAAACATTATGCTAAACAACTCAAATAAAGTAAGCAATTTTTATCAAGACAATTTTCAAAAGGTCACTCTTTCAAAAAAAAAAAAAAGTTTTATTTTGCAGCATGGAAGTCATTGGAAATATGAATCCATACTCACAGAAACGAACAAAGAAGCATGAATGCATCTCGAACCAAACATAAAACCAAGTTTGTATGGGATAGAAGCAATCAATCTTAACACTGATCAAAATCTGTGAAAGATCTTACATTACATTGAGTCTTCTGAACATATCTAATACAACAATGAGGCATCGAAGATCTTGGCCTGCTCACTACCATGCATTTCATCGTGCTCAAAAGGGAAGATGGACTTTCTCATAAGGAAGTGAAAGCGCTGTGTTTGGTACATCTGAAATGATGAAAGCAGAACATTCTGAGACTTTGTACAGTGTTTTTTTCCCCGGAAAAAAACAGTGATTTTAGTTAAGCTAAATAAGAGTAAGTTGGTAGAAGCATGAGTGAGTAGTTGGGAGAACATAGGCTAAACACGACGGATGTGATGGAAAAAGTTCATTTTGATAAGCTATCAAAAAAAGCTAAAAATATATTTTTTCCAACAATACCTTCATGATTAACTTAATGCTCTCCCGACACTAAGGTATTAAACCAAAGTGAATCACTTCTTGCTTTAACAAAGTGGCATATATCCATCTTTGAAAGACAAGAGAACATATGTTATTATAGATAAGACAACCATAGTGATGTAAAACAATCAAACTGATGCTAGACTGATGCAAATAGAGGTAAAAATGAAGGGAGCAAAGGCGCAAAGAGAAACAAGACCAGATAAACTGAAGGGGTAAGCTAGCTAAAGATAATAGGCAGCCAAAATATTCCATCCATCACAAGTCTTCCATGAGGTCACTTGTTAAGGTTTCCTACTCACGAACAAACATAATAAATTAAACATAATCCTCTTGTTCTGCCCTTCACCAAAATAGAAATTAGATAGAATAGTTTTTGATTCATTATGCTCCACTTTACCTTCGATATCGAGTCTAGATTACACAAACATTGCAGATAACTTCATTCCTCCAACTGGCAGAAGGCTTTCTACATGATTGAAGACATGATAACCACAAGAACATCTGCTAACAGCAAACTTTTTAAATTCTTTAGTAGTAAGATTGTACAGAATTGTGTTTGTTTCATCATTCTCCATTTCACGTCGAGTTGAAATGCTGCAAACAACTTCATTCCTCCAAATAGTCAGGGGGCGTAAGACACCTGGGTACGGGCAAATAGAATATTTCTTAGTCCAACTGCATCTCTGCCCTGATGCAGCTGTACCCTCCTCCATCACCCACAAATCAATCAAAGATTTAGAATTTCCAATCGCAGTACAACAAAGCACTGCAAGTTTTTTCTCATACATAGTGAGCGTCTTGAGATGTGATCCAAGGGTTAAAGCAGGTCTTGGCATCAATGTAAACACTTCCGTTGCTATGTCAAAGGAAATTATCACATTTCCACCAACAAGATTACCATTTTCATCCTCCTGCTTCAGCTTAGAACCAAACCAGAAGATAGATCCATTAGCTGTGAAACCATGAGAGCTAAGACTTACACCAACTAAGATCCCCAGTTCTATTTCCTTCCATGACTCTGTCCTTAATGAATAGACTAACACTTTATCAATCATATCATCAAACGGAATATCAACATAAATTCTCACTATCTTGTAATCATTAACAATTGGACTAAACCCAAATCCGACATGTAAATTCTGATGTGGAAAAGCATCAGTAGCTCTAGGCAACTGTCTGACCTCCCTAATAGTCGGATTGCACAATAAAAGGGAGTCATGAGACATACCATCCTTACGGATTCTAACGCACAGGAGGCCATTACTGGAACCAACGACCCAACCACACTTTAAATAATCAATCAAAGGATGGTTCTGAACTCGATGGACTTGCATCTCAGAATCAAGCAAATGCCAGTTCAAAGCATCATCGCCGCCTCTCATTAGGAAGAGGAGACACGGATTTTGATGAGAGGAGTGGAGGAGGTGGTCGGAGCTGAAGGAAGGGGACTTGATGAGATTTTTCCACTGCTTGCACACGCACAGAAATCGGATTAGGAACCTTGCAGGAAGCCGCGCAAGAATGTTTTGAATGATTTCTTTTGGAAGATATGGCATTTGGTCATCCATTGCTACCTGCTTCATAGTCATGGCCGGGGAAGAACAGATCTCTCCAAGGAAAGCCTTCTAAGTCAATGGAGGTTTCGTCCAGCCTCCCCCGTCACAAGTGCATTTCACAACGCATTACTAACTTTTATATTTGTTTACATGGGAACGTGGTTTACGGACTAATAGATTAGTAGGGCTTGGTGTCATCCGGCCAAGTCACATGTGACACTTCATTAAAATATCATCCGCTTTCGTGCAATGTTTCAGGGCAGAGCAAAAGTCGCAGCGTGGTACTGAGACTTTAACATTAGAGCTAGACAATCACGGGAACCTATACTCCCCCAGCGAGCCTCGTCCGTATTCATAAGCTATAATGCTATGCAAGGCTTAGCTTAACCTTTTTTCTGTACTGATAACTGACAAAAGCTACTATTTAAATATATTTGGTCACAACATCCTTTATTAGTTTGAAATGTTCTAAATATACTAATTGTATTTTTGCTTGCTTTATTTATGCATTAAAGACTGTTCACCTGTAATTGATATTATAATTCATTTTGCTTTCATCCGAGCACCGAACTCTCCGATTGTGTCTTCCACATAGCATTGTGTTTCCATTCGGCCGCTCCATTATTAAATTCTATATGCAGAAAGTTGATCTCTCATATGTGGAAGTTGGACGCATTAGCAGATTTTGCTCCGGAGAAAAAAAGTAATCATGATGTGACAACACCATTACCTTTATTATCCTTTCTGATAAACTTGATGCGGATCGTGGGTTTGTACATTGTGGATTCATTTTCGTCTGCCAAATGCCAGAGCCAAGTCGCTTGCACAGCACGTAAAATATACATCAGAAGCCATTTCATTATAATTTCTGTGCTTCTGTGCCGTAGTCCGACGAAAGGGGCAGACTGGAACCTTGAACAGGACTGTTTCTCACATTTTAAATGGTTTCCTGTTCTGACCATTCCGCCATTAACCAAGGATTTAGCTATGGCGTGCTTCGCAAGGAGTCTTGGAACCTGCTAAGGTATTTCGCAATTTCATGTCATTTCTCTGTCTTATCAGTCTGCCTCCTGATACGCTTGATATCCTCAAGATATTTCAGATGGCAAGTCTGCAGAGTCGTCTATAAAGCAAATTCAGAGTATCTCGGTAGGCAGAGATATGTTACTGTGTCAAGTGATCTTATATCTTTAATAAAAAAACCTATTTAACTAATTTGATTAAATTAAAGAAGTTAGATAAGTTAGTTAATTATAAAAATGTGATACATTTTTCTAAACCACCATAATTATTTTTTTAATATCCTATCTCCCTCTTCTACTTGATTATAGTTGAGAGAGTATTCTCAAGAGTAATTTAGAGAAAATTAATAAATATGAAAAATGAGTCTTATATCTAGGATAAAAACCAACTCAATAATTAGATCCTATATTAAGGACCGGAGGAATAGTTGAAAAAAACTCGATTTATATAAATACACTTTTGAAAAATAAAACCGTTGTTTTTCTGGAAGAATTATAATAAAACCCCAAAAAAAAATTAAAAAAATAAATCTTAGAAGTTATCATTTTTAATATAAAACTTGTTATTATAGTCTGTTAAGATTATTATTAAAACTTTTTAATGATTATTTTTTTTGGATTTAATTATAATTTTCTCTTGTTTTTTCCATTAAATTATATGAATCCGTGAGAAATTGTTCAACTCGTGCCGATCGTTGATCTCCCCGGGAAACGCTTGGGGCTCATGCAAAGCTAGTAAGCTCATGCAAAGCTAGTAAGATCATGCATCAATCCCCCCCCCCCCCCCCCACCCCCCACAACAGAACAAAGATGTTAATCAACGAGCCCCTTATCTAATGGAGAATACTTGCAGAAACTTCTTTCAGTATTCCCGGGCAAAATGAAGAGTCATCACTCTCATCCTTTTATCTTTTTACTAAATTTTACCACATTTCGTCAAAACGTCTATTTTTTTTTTTTTGGTGATACAAAACGTCTATTTTTTCAATAAAAGAAATCTCTTCTTGAACAAGGCGTGGAAAAACTTCCAAGAACAAGCATAAGTGATAGGAAAGAAGCAAGCAACTCACAAATAATTTGGTTTACAAAATGTAAGTTAAATATGTATCAGAATTTTGTTTCAACTTAGAAAGTGTTTGAATAGAAACTAAATTATGATTTGAAAAGTACTTTTACGATTTACGAAATAAATATATAGAAGAGTTTGTTTCGTTTTATAAAAAAATGTTTTTGAAAAGCACTTTTATTCCTTACTTGGATTGAGAGAAAATAAAGAAGAAAAGAAAACTAGAAAAGAAACATGGAAGGAAACAAATTTTCTTTTGCTTGGATAGGAAAAAAAATATAGGAGGAAGAAAAAAAAAAAAAAAAAGATGGGTCTCATGCCTTATTTTCTCTCCACATACGGAGAGATTTAGAAAAGAAAACAAGATTTTCATGATTACCCTTCCTCTCTCTTCCTCTTCATATTTATTTTTTTTATTATATTTAAAAAGTTATTCACTTTATTTTTTTTATCTTAAAACAATGTTTTTATTAAATAATTTGGTTTTAAAACATAATAATATGAAAAAAAAATAAAAATCAAATATCTTGATTTTAAATTATTTGACGATGCTAATATTAGTATAACTTTTCTATTACAATATTTAATTTAATTTAATTTCAAATATCTATTTTGATAAAGACATTTCATTATTTAGATATTCACTAATCTTTCTCTTTTCTATTTTCTTTCATCTATCTAAATAAGAAGGATGATGATATCTTTCTTCTAGTTTTTTTCTCTTTATTTTCTCTCCTTCATTTTTTTCCTCTCAACTTTTCTTCCTATCATGCAGAGCATTAAAGCTTGCCAAACACCAAACACCCTCTTAACGCAAACAAGCCCTCTTGGCTCTTGCTCCACTTTTCCCCCTCTCATAAGATATATGTATTTTACCTCGGCAATAGGCCACAACTCACAAATAATCCACGCACAAGCAACAAGTAGTCTATATAGCCGTCTCGGAAAGTAAACAGAAGAAACTAATTTTACAGATATGTCAAACACGGCTACAAACATCTGTTACTAAAATATCTAAATTCATCATCCTAGATAACATCTCAAAAGGTCTTCAAACTTGACAAGGCACAGAATAATATAACTTGATATGGTTCTTCTCTACTTCCAAAAGTGCTTAAGCCAAGTAATAAAGATTAAAAGGTCTGGGAAGCAAACATCTCGAGTTCATGAGTTGTGAGATTGAACAGAGATAGAATAGCTTTTGCTAAATCACTGTACACGTTGCATTCAATATCATGAATGACTACAGACCCTACAGAAAATTTGCAAATGATTTCATTCCTCCAACTGGTACGAGACTTTCAGCATAATTGAAAATATCATGACCATCGTCACATTTGCTAATGGCCAGCTTCTTGATTCTTTTAGTAGTGAGATTGAAGAGAACAGCGGTGGATTCGTCCTCCATGTCATCCGTGCAGACAATTACATTTCTCCAAATAGTCCTGGGATATAACTTGCATGGATAAGGGCTGCTGGTATATTTCTTAGTCCAATTCCATCTCTCCCCAGATGCTACTACACCCTGCTCCATTACCCACAGATGGATAACAGAATGCCCTGTGCTTCTGATGCCAGAAACCATTGCAAGTTTTTCCTCATACACAGCAAGCGTTGAAAAAAAGTCATGCTCAGGTATGGGGATCACTCTAAACGCTTCGGTTGCTAGGTCAAGTGAAACAATCAGACCCTCATTATCATCTGGATCCTCCCCAACCCGCTTTGAACCCAACCAAAACATAACACCATTAACAGTGACACAATGAGAATGAAGACATGTACTGTGATTGACCCTAAATTTTACTTCCTTCCATGACCCTGAGCTTAAAGAATACACCTTCACGGCAGAAAGCTCAGTATAATACTCATTAACATACAATATCACTATCTTGTAATCATTAATAACTGGACTGAACCCAAATGCTACAGAATAGAGATAATAATCCTCATGAAAATTAGTTTCGGGCACCAGTCTAACCTCTCTAATCGCTGGATTCCACACTAAAAGGAAATGAGGAGACACATCATGCTTGTTGATTTCAACACAGAGCAAGCCATTGCTAGAACCAACGATCTTACCACGCTTCAAGTAATCGAGCAAAGGAGGGTTCTGAAAATCCCGAACTTGCATCTCGGAATCAAGCCAATACAAGTTCGAAGGATCATCCCAGCCATCCCGTTGGAAAAGGAGATAAGGGTTTTGATGATTTGAGTGGTGCAGGTGGTCTGCGATGAAAGCTGCGGTCTTGAAGAGATTTCTCCAATGTCGGCACACACATTGAAATCGGACTAGGGATTTTACTGGAAGTCGTTTGAGAATGTTTCTGATGATTTTTTCAGGAAGAACTGGAGGGTCGCCGTCCACTTCCTTCTTCATAGTGCTCAATTGAGAAGAACCTGTTTTCCAGAGAAAAGCCTTCGCGACCAACGAAGGCGCTATGGTTTACAGGAAACGGTTGCAGAGGTAAAAGACTGTTTTTTGTTGTTAGTTCTACTGAAGTTTTCAGGTTTATTCAAAAAGAAGTAAAAGACTCTGCGTCGTGTTTTTTTTTTTTTTGGGAAAAATTTACTTTTTTATTTATTTATCAACAGCCAATTTTATTGAAGCAAATAAAATTATTACCACTTGAAATGCTTGCCCATTATAATAAGTTATTTAAACAAAACTCAAATAAATAAATAAATAAAGGTCGATCTGGTGCAACTGAAAGAAAACACAAATAACAAAATGAAAAACCAATTGCAACAATTCCCCTTTTGCGTTAAACCAAAATCACTAACATAAAAATAGGCTTTTTATTTTATAAAAGGTTTTTAGTTTGATTTTTAAATGATGACTTCTTATATCAATTATTTATTAAAAAAACTGAAAAAATGAATTAAAAATTAACAGACGAGAATAAAATTCGTGTCAAGCCACTAGCATAGCTTACATCCAATCAAATACAACTAAAGTGGCATGAGCTTAGTGCAAAAACAAAATGAAGCATGACATTTAACTTTTTTTTAACTAAATATTTGTGTCTATTATTCCTCTTTTTAATACCCTTTTTCAAAAATTGTATTCTGTTACTATTCTTTAAAAATTAATTTGCAATTCTCATAGTTTATCTCAATTTTAAATTAGATTCCCATAATTACTTTATTCCAATTGTTCCTTAGTTTGATTCATTCTAAACATACATCCTTGTGTATAAAAAGTAAAAACTAATAATTTTAATTCAAAGAATTTCATGGGCTACATAAAATCTCTTCGATTCTATTTCACATGGTTATAATATCGTGCATTTCTGTTGGCAAAAAAAATATATATATATATATCCATGATCAAACAATAAAACCCAATTAAAACAAGGTAATTATAAGAAACCCACTTAAAATGGAAGTAAATTATACAGATTTTGCTTTTGTTTTAACTATTTGTGAAGACCCATGAACCATGATCATATTGATAGGCCGAAAATACTTCCTAAGGGATGGCCCATGATCTTCCCTATAAATCTGAAGTGGTGAAAAGTAGGTTCCCATTCCGCCAAAAGGAAGAAAAAAAAACTAATAAAATAATTAATTAGCAATTTCAAGTAAGAAGTAGGAAAAATAATAAAATTATAAAAAAAATTGACTTCGAACGAAGAAAACCATAAAATTAATTAAATTGTTCGCCAGCACTGCTGCACATTTGTTTTTCGCATCAAAGACTTGTAATTTTCCTCTTAAATAGGTAAATCATCAAAACCATAATTTTAAAAGTGTTTTTAAGATATACAAAATAAATGTATAGAGAAATTTGTCTCGTTTTACAAAAAAAAATACTTCTAAAAAATACTTTTAGGTGATTCATAACACCCCTAGTCTGAGATAACCAAAAACTTGCTTGGTTGCATCAGAGACTGGGAGTTGCCTCACTTTCAACTGTTCAGAACATATTGAAAATTTATAATATGTCACATTCCAATAAGGATCCTAATATCATTTTCAGCGTCATGTCACTGAAAATCCAATAACCACAGTGTACTCAAAAGGCCATTAAAGCTTATATTTTTATCATTTACTTCAGCGACCCCGCGCGCGCGCACATATAGGTGGATCTCAATACTCTAACATACTTGTTGATGATTTTACTAAGTTCAGCTGGTTGTTAGCCCATGAAACTCAAATTTGAAGCTTTTCCACTTTTATCACCTTCAAAACATATATTGAAAACTGATTGGACTGGAAAAAATTCACAGCCATTTACATCACTAACTGATTAACTTCCATTTACATCAACAATGATGCCTTTGACCAAGTTTGTGAATATTCCACATGAATATGCACTTCCTAGGAGTCTTTGGCCGTTCATGTTACTCTCTTTTAAGGTCTTATGATGTTACATTACCCTGATAAGAAGGTCCCAAATAGTCCACAGACCAACAACTAAAATATATATCTTTGAGAGAAAATTGAATGACCTGATACCATATAGATAATTCAGATAAAGCTACAAGCATATGTTATTGCATATCTGCATTCATTATTTTTGATAAAATACCTGAATCACAACAAGCCTAATAGTTACACAACGAACTAAACTCTTATAGGTTCATTTCGACCATAAGTACTTCAACAAAGTAAAAATGATAATAATGAACATTTAGGACCAGAGCTATTCAGTATGAATGTTCCCAACTGATACAAGACTTTCTACATAATTGAAAATACCATAACCCATGACAGATTTGCGGATATGAAACGTCTTAAATTCATTGGTCGTGAGATTGAAAAAAACAATTTTTTGTTGATCATCTTCAATATTATCAAGGGGTCCGGACAATGTAGAAACGTTGCAGACAATTTCATCCTTCCAAATAGTCACTGGAACTAACAAACAGCCTAAATAAGGGCAGCTAGTATATTTCTTAGTCCAAATCCACCTCTCTCTAGATGCACAAGTACCCTCCTCCATCAGCCACAAATGAATCAAGGACGATTTGAAGTCTTCACTCAAAGTGTGAGAAAGCAGAGCAAGCTTGTTGTCATATACAGCAAGATATCTGGGATATGGGGTATTTGTAACTGAAAAGGGTGAAGAAGGCAATGGTATCAATATAAACACTTCCATAGCTATATCAAATGACACTATCAAATCAATATCATCTTCATCCTCCTCCACACCTAGCTTTGACCCAATCCAAAAGATAGCTCCATTATAAGAGAAACCATTAGAGGTCATAGCTACACCATTTAAGTTCCCAAATTCCACTTCCTTCCACGATCCTGTGGTTAATGAATAAACTTCCACCTGATTAACCCGACCAGTATTTCCAGGAACATGAATTTTCACTATCTTGTAATCATCAACCGATGGACTAAACCCAAATCCTACAAAGAATTCCTCATCTTCAAAATAACTAACAGATGTAGGCACCCGACTCAACTTTCTAGTAGCTGGATTCCACAATAAAAGGGAAAGAGATCTAGAAAAACTAGCGACTCCTACACAGAGTAAGCCATTGCAGGAATCGAAGGTACAAACCCACAGCCCCATAAAATCAATAAAAGGATCGTTCGAAACTTCAAGGACTTGCATCTCACGATTGAGCAAACACATGCAAAAAGGATCAGATTTGCCAAAATCTTCAAAGAGAAGCGAAGGGTTTTGACGAGAGGAGTGGTGGAGGTGTTCAGCGATGAAAGATGGGGTTTTGAAGAGATTTTTCCATCGTTTGCACACACATTGAAATCGGATTAGAGATTTTACCGGAAGCCGTGTGAGAATGTTGGTCATGATATCTTCGGGAAGAACTAGGTTGTCGCCATCCATCTGTGCCATGGTCCTCAACCGGGAAGAACAACGGATCGAGGAAAGGCCAAGCCGTGAAGTGAAAGGGAACTGGATTGGGGAAGACCATGGAACCAAACCGACAGCGTTTTGTAAAACGAAGTCATTTTACTGAAATTAAAAATGCTTTTTAAGTTAATTTTTTTTCGGCACTCAATTTTTAATTTTTTATGTCTTTATATTATCTCTTTTATTTGCAATACTTAAAGTATTTAATAATCAATTCTTTTCTAATTTTTCAGCACTCATTTTGAAATTCTTCAGTATTTGTTTTTAATATTTTGAATAATTATTTTTATTCTTCAATACTAAAAACATTTAATAATACTATTAAAAAAATTAAAAAATTGAGCACTGGAAAGTGTGTATTACAGATATAAAAGATGGGTGCAAACAAATTTAACTGAGGAAAATTGTAATCCTAACTAAGGACTATGATTTTTTTTAATATTTAGTATTTTATCATTTCAAAATTTTAATTGTCATCATTTTTTAGAGGGCCTTTAAATGTCGTTTTACATATTACCATAAATATATAATAAAACTGTTTAAAATTTTAGACTACATATGCTGGACAATTGATTGATGATTTTATCCACATTTACCTGACTTTCAAAGCTCATCAAATAAATTTGAGAAAATTTACTTCATTGTATTCAAATTATCACATTTTTTAAAATTTAAAAGATTTATTTACAAGTTGATTTCCAAATTCTAATATTCTAACATTTATAATTGAACTTCTTAAATTTATAACTGAAAATTTGCAAAAAATTTATGTTAACTCTGTAAGAAAACTCACAAGACAGTCCTTAGAACATAGGCTATTGTACTTGGATTGTTTTGAGAATTGAGAAATCACTCATTATTCTTTTTGTATCCTTGATTTTTTTTTTTGCAGGTGTTACTGGCTGAATTTCAATAACATAAGACGGGTGGCTTGTTAAGCCCCATGGATTAAGCTCATTAAAAATTCTCTCCATTTCTCTCGTACCAAACAGGTCCTAGAGTAATATACTCTTGCTTTATGTCTCAAGAAAAGAAATTATATAATGCATTCTCAAAACAAACAAAGATGTTTGTAAAATTTGAAAATATTTGCAAACTTTAATGAGCCTAATAATCACAAAGTAAATCTTTAAATTATATTGACATTGAATAGTGTTTCATTGAATGTGTTTCTTTTGTATCCAAAACTAGGTTATTTATATAAATATTTTTTCGGCTTCAAACTGATCATGCATATAAAGATTAATTAAACAAAAGTCAATAAATATGTGAAGTTTTTGGAGATTTGTTAATTTGTTAACTCGCCAATATTTTAATTTAAAATTCCCTTCGATTAAAAAATTAATATTGAAAATTGATTATTTTTTGAAATTTAATTTAATTTAAATTAAGGGCCTATTGGATTTTGTGATTTAAGAACATTTTTATTCAAAAAATAGAAAAATAAGTTTTTCATTAGATTATTTATATAATACACTCTCAAAACATACAAAGATATTTGTAACAATTAAAAATATTTGAGAATTTTAATAAACCTAACAACCTCGAACCAAATCTTTAGATTATATTGACTTTGAACAAATTTAATCTCACTGAATGTGTTTATTTTGTATCTAAAACCAGATTCTTTATATGGATTTTTCTTTGGCTTCAAACTTATTATATATACAAGATCAAGTAAACAAAAGTCAATAAATATTTGAAGTTTTGTGAATTTGTTAATTTTTTAATTTCTAATAGTTTAATTTAAAATCCCCTTAAATTAAAAAAATTAGATTGAAAATTGATTATTTTTTAAAATTTAATTAATTTAAACTAAGGGCTTATTAATTAGATTTTTTTTTGTGGTAAGAACAGTTTTTTATTTAAAAAAGATAAAATATGTTTTCATTATGTGTTCTCGAAGAATAAAAAATTGTACTGAAAAACAAAAAAAATCAGAATATATTTTGATATTTTGTTATTTAAAAAATTAGAGAACAGTCGAAGAATGTTATATTTTCAAGCAAATTATTCTTCACTCTCTGGTCACCACTATATCATTTTAGATATATTTTTCAAAATAATAATTCAAACTTTTTTTTTGGAGCAAAATTCAACACATATTTTTAACCTCTTATTATTAAAACTATTTCTTTTTTTTTGGTGAAATTAAAACCCTTATTAAAAAATTATTGTACGGAATTGGTGCTTATAACACACAAAACGTTTCTTTTGCAAACCGCGTATTATATCTATTTGAAATTAGATAATTTGTTTTGACCAAATGAAATTAGATAATTTCAGAATTTGGAAACCGATGTTTTAACATCATGAGGAACTGACTATTGACTAATATGATCGTTGAGACCAAATCCCGATTGTGGCGCAACAACATATATTTGTAGGAGACATTTTAACTTATTTATATATATACATATATTGATTTTCTAAATTGAAAGAACTTATCTTTATGTGAATGCTAAATTAAATAAATGCTCAAGATTAAATAATTCTATCTATGAACCGAAAAATGCGTGACTTGCATTTAGTTTGCACGTAAAAATATATGTAAAAATAGATTATTATATAAATAAAAAGTGAGAAAACAATGGTTAATCAATGTGTGAAATTTGTTAATTGTTTATCTACAATTAATTTAATTTAAATTTAAGTCCGTCTGCATTTTCTTAAATATACTTACTCATTATTGATAAAAAACGAATCAGATTCACCTCTCCTACTAAAAATGGCTTTGACTTGTATGCTTCTCTCCTAAACATTATAAATAGGCATCAGTGATCAATTAGAGTGTGCAAAACTTCCTACCAAGAAAGCTTGTGATCTCCGCAAGGAAAATCTTGAAGTCAAAGAATTCAACTTTCATCCACTTCTCATAGGTAATCCTAATTGATGCACATTTTTGGTGTTCTTAACTTTCCAGATGCATATTAAAACTACGTATAATTTTCTTGTTAAACTTTTGTCGCATCGCACCTTTTGTTGTGGAAAAACTCTGAAATATTATGTTTTTGTATTTTTGGGTACAATATTTATTTGTGTTGAAGCTATGATCCGATAGTTATTTTTTTTCATCGTCTATATCTATATCTTGGGCAAAATGTTTACATCTAATATGTTCATTATATTTTACATAAGTATTGAACTGGCTATGTTTATTTGTTTAATTTATATCTCATTAATAGCATTTATGAACCATATGATCATCTTGTTATTTGATTGAACTCATTGCCATGCTGTTGCGTGTGTGTGTCTCATATTTTTCAATCTTTTCAAACGTAAAACTTGAACATTACTGGAGATGAAAACTAGGTATAGGTTTTGGCGAAATACGTTAGAACACTGATCCAAGTCGGCAAAATAGGATCAAGGTAGGGAAAAGGGTCTTCTGGGGTGAGGAGAAAAAATAATATTACTTTTAATTATGTTAACAAAACAGTTATGAAAATTACTTTTCAAATTATTTCATTAGTAGAATGATATCATTTCTAGAACTTACTAGAATATATGTGTAAAAATAGTATAAATATATAAATGGTTAGAAATATTGTTTTCAAATGTAAAAAAAAACTCGTCTATATAGAAAAAAAAAAGTACTATTAAAGTGTAATTATATATCATAAGATCTTGATTAATATGAACTTGAAATTGATGTGCTTACAGGCTCAAGACAATAATATGCCAATGGAGCTGGATATTGATGGTATCGTTGATGCACTTTTGAAGGAGAACTGCTACTTACAATGCTGATGAGTGCCGGAGAATGATGAAGCGTATGTCCGGCATCTTGAGGAGCAACATGCTGCCGCCGTCAACGTGTTGGAGAATGATGAGGCATATGCCCAGTACCTTGAAGAGCAACCACTACTAATAGAGGCCACTGATGACTATGTGACCAACATCCTGTCGCGACCGCCAACGTGCTGGAGAATGATGTTTTTTCCGACATCTGGAAGAGCAACTATTAGACATCACGACGGATGTCGATGATGTGCCGGCGAATGATGCATATGTTCGGCATCTTGAAGAGCAACTGCTAGACGCTGCAACTGCCGCCGGTGATGATGTGCTGGAGAATGATGCATATGTCCGGCATCCAGAAGAGCAACAGCTAGACGCCACCACTGTCATCGCCGCTGCCGCCGATGTGCCAGAGAATGAGCAAGTCAGGCCTTAGTACCGTCCACATGCTCAAACACTTGGCCCTCCAACTGCTATTCGGAGTATCAAATCATATTGAACTCAGAGCCACCCATGAAAATGCCACGTACTTTGGAAGAACACAACGGTACGTACTTGGAAAACTTTCAATTGAATTTTTTTTAAATTTTTCTCATGTTTTTCTTTTGAGTGTTTCTGATTGAGTGAATGGCTTTATGAATATATTTGGTTATATGGCTGTTGGTGAAAAGAAAATAACAAATAGGAGAAAAAACTTTTTATTGATTTAGGAACTAGATGAGAGTGGTTTCTAGTCAACATGTTTATTTAATTGCTACTTTTACAACTATTATTCCTTAATTAGTGGAGGTAGAAAATTGTATTATAAATAAATAATTTACTTAGTTTTCATAATCAACCCAAATTCGTTCAATAGCACTTGCATTATGAGCATCATGAAAGTATATAATATAATCACTAATATTTTCATAATGTGTTTTTCCTTTTGTGACAGAAAAGTCTTACAAGGACCAGAGATGGTGTCAAATACACCGATTCAAGTATCTAGCAATGCTGAGCAATACAATAATCACCAAACTAACTCTACGGATCATATTTCATTGCATCAATTTGACGAACAAAATCCTTCAAATATTCCACTGAATCAGTCACTACCAACACACCAATTCACCTCATCAATTCCTCATAATTTTCAAGTTCATCATCAGCCACAAGTTCCTTCAAGCTTTCCTGTTCAAATGACATCCTCTCCAACAATAAGTCAGCAGTTTAACCAGCAACAAAGTATCACACAGTCCCTC